AGTACCTGATCCAGTGTGTTTCGCAGCTTACCTTCCAATTCTTCAATAATTTTTCCTCATTGCCTACCTACACAATGCTCCCCTCCTCGCCTACCCCCTTACTTGCACACTGCCCCCTCCCCTTGTGGCACACCTGCCCTCTCCCTGCCTACACACCTTTCCCCTGCTTGCACACTTAACTCATCCCCAAACTAAATAGCAGCACAAACAGATTCTACACAAAAATATAATCAAAGTAATTACTTTTACAAAAATCGAATTAAGCTACCTTACAAAATTATTAAAATTAAAGAACACGAATCTGGGAATGAGCTACCATGCGATGTTGAAGTAGAAAAATCGCAAAAATAAAATCCAGACACCACAGCTCAGAATCAATTTCCACAACATTAACACTCTTTTTAAATGTGCATGCATTGTCATAAAATGATTCAAAAACATCAAAATCGCATAATTAATTTCATCGGATCGTCCAAACTAGCAACAATTTCGCAGAAAATTAACACAAAAATCCTTTAACCAAAGAAAATAAAAAAATTGACACAAAAATCCTAAAAAAGCAAAATAAAATTCACAGAAAAATCAAAAGAATAACCAAAAATAATTAAAAATAATTACCTAACATTTAACCTTGAGATTGATATGAGTAACTTGATCAGGAGCAGGCTTCCTATCTTCATTAAAAGCGTTGTTACCTCCATTGTTGTTGGTATCATTTTCTCCAGCCATCTTCAACAAATTTTGAACAATGTTACATCAATTAAACCCAAAATTTCAAAGCATTTAACATGAATAATTGGACCAAAAAACCAAAATATAATGCAAAGCTAAATAACCTAGAAACGGTTTGAAATTGATTAGAATTTGTTGTTGTTGAAGACGCACGCACATCGAATTGATTCAAAATAGACAAACCCAAAAACCCTAACCTCCAATATTGTAGAAAGAGATAAGGAGAAGGAGATCAAAAGAGAGAAGAAAGGAAAGCGAAAGTGGCGGTTATGGAGAAGGAGATCGAAGAAGAGAAAAGGAATTTGAGAAAAGTACTGAGAGAAAGCTTAGAAGCCCCTTCAATGGAGAAATTCGAGTACGCTTCAATGGAGGAGAGAGAGGAGGGAGAGGCAGATGAGAGAGGAGGAAAGATCGAGGAAATGAAAGAGAAAGAAAGAGTATATCCGGGATTTTTTTTTATTTTACAATAGATTTCGCACCGCTTCGAACCGAACTGATGCGATTAACTCATTTTTCGCACCAGTTTGGTTAGAACCGGTGGGAAAACTCTTCCCCTCAATCCCTTCTATTTTTTTCGCACCGATTTTTAAAAACTGGTGCGCATTCTGCGGTGCCTATTTCATTTTTTCTACTAGTGTTCGTCACTGATCAGGAGTTATATTTGTTATACTGTGATATCGTTTGGCTTGAAAAATGCGCCTATAACATTCAATGCATGATAACTGTGGTTTTCATTAACCAGATTGGCAGGAATGTTGAGGGGTACATTGAAGATATGATAGTCAAATCCTAGCTACACACGGATCATCTTGCTGACCTTCGAGAAACCTTCACCACACTCAGGCGGCATAAGGTCACGCTTAATCCCAAAAAGTGTGTCTTTGGTGTTGAGTGTGGGAAGTTTCTCGAATTTTAAATTGATCAAAGGGGATAAGGGTTAACCCAGAGAATTGAAGGTACAGGCGGTCATTGACATGAAGTCACCTCGCATTCTTAAAGAAGTACAAAAGCTAACTGGTTGTCTGGCAGCATATGGGAGATTCCTCAGTCGGTCAGGCGACAAAAGCCTCTATTTCTTCTAAGCCATCAGAAAGAAAACCATGATGCTAAGGCGGCATTTCAAAAGTTGAAAGAACATTTACACTCTTTGCCAAGGCTTGTAAGCCCTTTGCCAAAGGAGTCGCTTTACATGTATTTATAATGTTTCAACAATCGTGCTCTTATGTTATTATGACCTAAATCGATGTACTCTGATTGGCTGACCTATGCGTGATTACCACGGGGTGGACTTTTATACGAGATTCCTTTTCGCTTTCGTGGGCTTTTGAGTCATTCACCATTCTAGTATCATTCAAGTGCCACGTGTCATGCTTTAACAGACCTCTTATGGCCTAGCTAAATGCCACGTGTTGCTTTCAAATGGGCCACTTTTTTGGCCTCTAATTAGTCTATATGGCTAGCTGGGTATTTTAACACTACACATTGCCCCTCATAGGTGGTGATGTGGATGCCAAGTCATCTTCTATGACAAGTCATACGTTGATATGTACGAAATCAGGTCGTTAATTACTAACCTGCTAAAAATCAAACAAATTTAATTTATGAATTCTAAACGAACCTCTAAATAAATAAGTATAATAGTAAGTCAAGGTGAACCAAAATGAACTGTAATGCTAGATTGGTCTGGATTTAATGCTTAAGCTACGCTAAAATCGATTTTAGATAGAGAGAATTACAACTAATAAATTTACTCTACAAACAAGATCAAATAAACTAGTAAGAGTAATGATCCACTTTGAAAAATTAATAAGCTAATGAGAATCCAATTAACAACAAATCACACAAAGAAAGAATTAAAAAAAGAATCAATTACACTCAAGAATAATCTCAAATTCCTAAACCTAGATCGCTTTGTGGCATATATGAGAAGTTAAACCATCATGCAATAATCAAATATAACAATCCTAATCTTGAATCTCTTATTGTCTTAGATTAGTTAAGCTAGCTATCTTGAGGGATTAATCCAATCTAAAACACACAACTTATCTTCATAAATTTAGTCAATTTAATCACACAAATAAATCCTCATGTAAATTCATCAAAATTAAATCAAGCTTCACTCAACTCCTATAGGTGGAAAGCTACTAACTAAGCATGATTAAAAAAGCAATTAACAAAGTAAAAAAATCATTAACTAATCTAATAAAAAACCAGTTACACTAATAGAACATTAAAGAATGTAATAAAGGTGAGAAAGACTAAGAAATTCTCATTGGATTATTGTAGAGATCTTCAAATCAATTACACTTGAATCTTCAATATTTCAAACTCTCTATTGAAATTGCTTTTATCTCTCTAAAACTACTCCTTATCTAACCCAGTTAGGTTCCCCGATTTTAAAGATGACAAACAACTTATCAAGTTTCCTCATGTTTTAGTATTATAAATTATTTCCCATGTGCAGTAACAGCTAATCTAAATACTTGTTGAAAACTAATAGCCTTCTTAAACTTCTTGAATGAATGTTCAAGAAAAGAAGAAATAATGTGTTGATCAAAGGAAGTTTCAAGACCTAAAGAATATGAAGATCACTAGAATCAGACTTATATTTTAGTTGGTCTTCTTGTTGTAAATGTGTTTGAGCAATTAAATGAATTGTAAAGATTTCTTATAATGGAGTAAAAAAGTTATAAGGATAAGGAACAATTGATCTGGTACCTAAGACACTACTAGTTCATGAAGCAAAACTAAAAAGACTATTTACATAACTAGGACAACTAGTTGGTGAATGCTTGCAGACCAACATAAACGATTACATTTCATAATCTTGTTTCACATTCTGTTTGAATGGAGGAGCAATAATGAGTTGGAAAAGTGTTAAGCAAAGCACAATTGTGGATTTTACAACTAAAGGTGAATAGTTGGCTGCTTTAGAAGCAACTAAGGAGGCTAATTGGATTCGGAAGTTCGTTGAGGAATTTGGCGTCGTCCCTACCATAAAGGGACCAATAGATCTATATTGTGATAATAATGGTGCTCTTTCTCAAGCTAAAGAGCCGAGGAGCCACCAAAAGGTCAAACACATTGTGCGATGCTATATGATTTCACCTATTACGAAAATGGATTGATAGAGGAGAAGTCAAGATTTGCAAAGTTGGAACATATGAAAACATTGCTAATCTATTAACTAAACAATTGCCACAAGTGAAATACAACAGTCCGTTGAGACAATGGGAATTTAGCACATTGGATAATGGCTTAGCTTTGATCGCCCTACATATAGGTTTTAAATAAGTATAAGATAAGTTAATGTAAAACATTAGAATTATCTTCTTATATGCATGGAATAATTTTTGCTTTCAAATTATTATTTTTTATTTATTTAATTGTAGTTTAGAATTATGTAATGAGCCCCTTCGATTTCACTTGTGGAAATAATGCTATTAGCAACTAGCGAAAAGTGGTTTTTAGCAACTGGTGCGTGGGGCTGCAATTGCGAGGGCTACAATTGGAAATTGTATTTGCAACTGGCACTTGTTCATTGCTAATAGTCACCATTCGCAGCGGGCATAGCTATTGGCCAGTTGCAAATAGTCCTTTTATAAAACGAAATATTTGCCTTCTTAAATATGTGAACCGGAAGATTAACAAGCCGAGGGAATATATAACAAAATACAATTATAATCTAGAAAATTATAAGTTTGGAAAATCAATGAGAAAACAATTATTTAAAGGGTTCTTGGCGGATAGAGGTTTAGAAATTAGGACTAAGAGAGAAGCTTAACACTACACTACAAAAAAAGGGACCATTAACGACGACGGGATCGTAAACCCATCATAAAAGACCATTTATGACGGGATTTCCCGTCGCGAACCGTCGTAGAACATTTTTCCCGTCATGATCCCGTCGCAAAAGCCAATTACAACGGGCAAACATCCCGTCACAAAAGCCATTACAACGGGCAAAAATCCCGTCGCAAAAGCCAATTACGATGGGTAAAAATCCCGTCACAAAAAACCATTTATGACGGGACAACCTCGTCGCAATTGTGTCATATACAGACCTGCTAACAAAATTAATATAAATAGATTTTTAGATTCACTAATGTAATAGTTAGAATATTAAAAAAAACCATATATGACGGGACAACCCCGTCGCAATTGTGTCATACACAGACCTGCTAACAAAATTAATATTAATAGATTTTTAGATTCACTAATGTAATAGTTAGAATATTAACATAAACTAAACAGGGTCATACCTCAAGTGAAACAAAAATATTATATAAAACCAACCAGTTTATTTAAACAAGAACAAAGCAAATTTATATCATAAACCTACTCCAACTCTCATGAAAGTTAGTATACTAATTACAATAAAATTCACTGAATTTCTTAACTAAAGTTACTAAACACTTTACAATTTGAAGAATATTTGAAGAATGAGTAAATAAGACCAGCTGCACGCATCATAGAAGCTACTGCAAGAGTACAAGTTGAGCAAGCTACTGCAAGGTAAACAGAATCCTATCAGAACCGGTATACTTGTATTAAAACTGTACAATGAAGGTATAAAGGCTAAAACAGAAAAAGATATATTGACCATTTGCTAAGAGGAGTAAGAGGCTAACATGCATTAATCCCAACCACAACTTACCTGACTGTATAGTTTTTGCCTCCTGATGCAAGTTCCTTATCATTGTGAGACCATTTTAACCCACACACCTAAAGACACTTGAATAATAATAATCTTAACCACAACCAAAAAAATGCCATATCATTAACATATTAACAACAAACCTTACAGACATTAAGCCATAACAATGAGTCCTTGACTAGAAACAATTGATTGACATTATCAAGTGCAGTTTAATAAAGAGAGATACAGAGAAAGAGAGTCTGTGAGAGAGAGAACCAAAACAAAAAAGGTGCATGTTCTAGCAGCAGCAGAATTTCCTTCAAAAAAAAAAAATAAAAAAAAATAGAGCTAGAAAACATAGAAGAAATAATAATGTACCACAATAAGGCAAGCAGCTTAAACAGTATTCTTGATCAAGTATTAGCCAAAATGCCAAATTGCTATCTAGTCAATCAAACAACTTTTTATCAGGTGCTATTAGAAGGAGAAGACGAACCTGCTTGCATAGAATTCATGGCAGCCTGGTGATATTGTATCAAGTACTGCAGGTAAGAATGCCGAGCTTCAGAGAGTGAAATAAACAAAACAAACAAAGCAACTGCTATGATGGTAAACACAGATAGATCCTAACTCATATAGTACTGCATAACAAACACAAATAGGGTCCCAGCATAAACAAACAGAACATAAACAACATGAGAATATCGCGGAAATCTGCAAGTAGAAATAAGGTGATTGATAATTTACCTTATTGATTTGGTATTGGCAGCATAAAAAAACAGGCGTAATTGATCTCCATCAACCCTCTCAGACCACCTCCATCATTATCCATCTATAACAACATTGAATAAGGAATCAATTGACTACCAAAAATAAAGTTGCAGAAAACTTAAAATATAAAAATTGCAGAAAAGTTACTAAATAATAGATTGGGAAAAAACCTTATAAATGAGTACAATACATTTTCTAAGTTGCTCTTCTCTTGGAACTTCCACTTGTTTTTTGTTTTCGCTTCCTTTTTATTGGATAGCAGTAGCATGTTTTGCTAAGCCTATTATCACAATGCATCCATTCTCGCCTCTTTTCCTTATCCATCCTATACCAATATTCACAATGCACAAAGCATAGTAGCATGTAAAATATAACAGCAGAACAAGGAATAAAAGAGAGCAGAACTAGGATCAGGCATGAACTGGACTAATTTGAAGATATAAGGCATGAACTGAACACTTCTCTACACTTATTTTTACTTTTTTAGCTATGAACTGAACGTGTGAATCTTGAACTGAACTAACCAAGACATATCAGAAAATTTTTCAGCTTGACATTTTATCGAACATGTTATGAGCACTTCGAAATTATTTCTAAACTTAAGAAAAATAAAACATCAATTCAATTAAATAAAAAAAAAAGAAAAAAAAAAAGCAATTCATCATAAATAATTATCAATCATCAACTCCTCTAATTAAACATCCCAAATTAAACAATCAATTTCAAATAACCTAAATTAAACAACATACTAAACGGAAACATAAATTAAGAAAAAAAAATGAAGCAAACAATTCGAATTTCATCATGATTATCACAAACAATTCGAACTTCATCACAATTACCACAAAAAAATTCGAAATTCATCACGATTATCACAAACTTGGCAAAAATTCAGATTCAAGAGTGTAAAATAGAAATAAATTTAAAATAATAAAGTGTGAGATGATTATATACCTGATTATTACTTGGATATATGAGTCTGATATTGATTTGAAGGTCCAACAATGGTGATTACTCGATATTTAATGGCGCTGACGAAAATGACGAAAGTAAAGATTAGGAAAAAAATGAGATTTTTCTGACTGAAATTAATTAATTAATCCAGAAGGTCGTTCTTATTATTTTGGGTTATTGATTTGTGGGCTGAGTTTTGTGACAGTTCACATATTCTGTAATTAAACCCACCACAAGAAGGACAGGATATGGGCCTGTCATTAAAGGGTTTGTTTTTTGTAGTGCTAGCTCACAAGTCACAACACTAAATAGACTCCGGAATATTAATTAAGAGAACCTTCACAAACACTTGAATCATGTCAGATCCTTACTACACCATCAAAGATAAACAAAACCAATATAAATACACCAATATCACGCATTTAAATAAAGCAATAATTAGTGCAACAATTAAAGCGATGATTAAATGCATAAGAAAAATTTGTGATCCTTGTATGGCCCCTTGGACTTGATCTTGAAACCTTTAATCTTAAAAACCTTCTTGTTGTCTTGGACTATGTCTTTAAAGACTAAGATAGTAGTATTAGGATGTAATTTTTTTTAAAAAAAAGTAAATACTTAATCGTACTAAAATTTATAAAAATACTTAATGATTTACATACTGTATTTAAATTACATAAGTACATCACGATTCATAGACCATATAATCTTTCCTAGTCGGACCATACTAGCTACTTTTGGTAAACCTATAAGAAACATCTATAATATACAATTTACCCATTCACTTTAGAAGTGAATGACCCATGCAAATTTACACATAATACATGCAATAATGAAAAGCCATGTAATAAATCAAATGGCGCGCACTCGTTACTTAAGTTGTTAATGCAATTAACAAACCTAATTTAAACTAATAGAGTTATTAGTAATTTATGTAAAATAAAGCACTCCCTATACGTGTAAATAAATAAACATGCTTAGACGCCCAAAATCATTTAATGACGCTCCCACAAATCCCATATCCATGTGAAGTTTTGTGCATATAAAGTTGGTATACCGTTACTTATGCCTTAAGTATAGGGGGTCAAAAATTTTAATACCCTTGTTGAATAATAATGGAATTATAATTGATGTTTTTTTCTTTGGTTAAATAGAGATTTTATTACCAAAGAATAGAAAGTTACAACTTACAAGAGCTAAGCTGCAACAAACAAAAACACCAAGACACCACAAGACCTTAAGAAAGGCCAAACTCCCCAAAACAGTTCCTAGTTCAAGTCAGGCCACCTTCTAAGAAGGGTGTAAGACTGAATAGGAACACACTACTGGACTCAGTCAACTTAGCCACCTTCTAGGAAGGGTTCTATGAAGCCAGGACCAGACAACACAAAACTAGAGCAAATACAACAATTTTCTATCACTGTTATTACATCTGAAAGTAACTAAGAAAATTATATCCTTGAAAACAGCATCAGTAGGCTTGAACTTCCTGTAAACATCCTAGAGTTTCTCTGTAGCCAAATATTATAGACACATTCAACAAAGCACATAGCAACAAATCTGTTCCTTACAGTAGATCTTCTGCAGCATCTAGCAATCCACTGTTGTTCTTCAGCAAATCCAAGAACAAGTCTAGAGAAACCAAGGGTCTGCAGCATAGCAGACTAGATCTCTCTAGAGTACTGAAAGTCAAAAAACAGATGCTCAATAGTTTCACCATTGTTAGAGCAGAAAAAAACACCCAGGATCACAAGAGATTTGCCAAGATAACACCTATCCTTTGTAACCAATCTATTCAGCAAAGTTAACCAGGTGATAAATAGACTTTTTAGGGAAGCCTGGTTGATACAAATGATTCTTTTCCAAGGCACTCTAGAACCTTGTGGCTTAATAAGACTATAAAGCTTCCTGATCTTCATTTTGCCATTTACAGTAATACCAGCCCAGCCACCAATATCATTCACCATATCTCTGCAAGATAGAATCTTCTTTAAGATCCATGAGGATTTGTTTGGGATAGCTGCAATCCACAAGTCTATGTTAGCAAAATAGTAAATATGCACCCACTTCACCCACAAATTATCAGTTTGTGAGTTAAGTCCTAGAGAATCTTAGCAATAGTTGCTTTATTCCAGTCTTCAAGAGAGGTAATGTTCTAGCCTCCATAAGACTTTGGTAAACACATGAATTTCCAAGAAACTAAAGCTTTCTTGGAAGGGTTGCTCTTCCATGTCCACAAAAAACATCTGAATCTAGACTCCATCTCTCTAAGAATTTTCTTTGGCAAGATAAAAATTTGAGCCCAGAAAGCTTGAATGCCAAAGAGCACACTCTTAACCAATTGCATTCTTCCAACATAGGATAAGTGTTTAGCAGCCCAGGCATCAATTCTACTAGTCACTCTTTCAACTAAAGGCCTACATTGAGAGATTGTAAGCTTCTTAGAAGAAAAGGGAACTCCTAGGTATCTAAAGGGCAAAGAACTAGTAGCCATCCCAAGCACCTGCTACAAAGCCATTTGGTCATGGTTAGAGATGCCACCAAAGTAGACATCACTTTTGTCAAGGTTTGTAGATAACCTAAAGGCTGTAGAAAACTTTTGAAAGGCCTGAAAAAGAAGCTTGACAGAGCCTAGATCAGCTCTTGCAAATAAAAGCAAATTATCAGCAAACATCAAGTGAGTAATCCCAAGTTTTTCACATCTAGGGTGAAAATTGAAGTCAGGATAACTAGTCATTTCCTGTAAGCACCTGGACAAATAATCCATACAGATAGCAAAAAGTAAAGGGGACATAGGGTCACCTTGCTTTAATCCTTTCTTAGCTTGAAAAGGAGTAGTGGGGTAGCCATTAATCAGAATTGAATATGAAACTGAAGTTACACATCCCATAATCCAGCCAATAACCTTGTTAGGGAACCCCAATTCACCTAGAATGACCTCCAAAAACCTCCACTCAACAGAGTCATAAGCCTTCCTGAGATCAACTTTCAACATGCATCTGGGGGTGATAAATCTATGAGAATAACCCTTGATTAACTCTGTTGCAAGCAATATATTTTCACCAATATGTTTGCCTGGGATGAACCCAGACTGAGCTTCATTTACAATAGAGCCTATGACTTTTTCCAATCTAGCTGTAATAACCTTAGAGATAAGCTAAAACCAGAGTGGAACAAGCTATAGGCATGTATTCTTTCACATAAGAAGGATTCAGAACCATTGGAACCAAAGCAATAGTGGTGCAATTCCACTATCTTGCAAGAATACCATGGTCAAAGAAGTCCAGAACAACTTTATGCACATCAGATTTTATGTGGTTCCAGGATTGCTTAAGGAATACAGCATTAAAACCATTCATGCCAGGGGCTTTATCATCATCAATATCAGCAAGAGCTTGCATTGATCAATCTCATTATGAGTAACAAGAGCAGACAAAAGAGTAATAGCATCAAAATTCAGTTGCTTTCTAGCTCTCATAGTAGTAATATCAACAGCAGGTAAGCTATCAACAGCAGAGCTTAGCAGATTCTGATAATAGCCTAGAATTTCAGCTTTGACCAGGTCAGGCTCCTTAAGCAACACATCATCAACAGTATAGATAGAATCAATTTTATTTCTATTCTGTCTTTGCTTCATCACAGAAAAAAAAAATGGTGAGAGTTAGAGTCACCTAACTTGATCCAATCAACCCTTGACTTTTGTTTCAAAATGCTCTCATGAATATCCATCCAATACTTCACTTTTTTCTATATCTGCAGCTTCTTGGTTCTAAAAAGAAGTATTAGTGTAGTCATCAGTAAGTTTAGCTTGAGTGTCATACAATGAGAGTCTAGCAGCTTCTAATCTATCAGTTACCTTGGCAAAGTGCCTAGTGTTAAGACTTTTAAGACCAGTTTTGACATATTTTAGCTTTTTCCATACTTGCACCATGGAGTTACTAGAAGCAGGAATGTTCCAGTGAGAACATACAGTATCATAAAACTCATCATGAGATCATATAAAGATGGAGGAAGATACAGAGCCTCAGTTTGACTATAAGCCAGCAGTCAAGCCTCATTAATCAGACCCTTATCTATTCTAATAGCAATCCTATCCATGCCTTGACCTTTATTACTCCAAGAGTAATAAGAGCCTTTACTCTTAATTTCAACAAGCTCTAAATCCTAAATGAAATCTTGAAAATCTTTAACCTCATAATCAGTGACCTGGTTCCCATTAAATCTATCTTGAGCAATTAAAATAGAATTGAAGTCACTAATACAAAGCCATGGAAGTTGAATGTTGCCTAGAGCCTATATACCAGTCCACATAGAAGCCCTATGTTGGATAGAGTGAAGGCCATAGACAAAAGTACAAGCAACCTGATGTTGCAAGTCTTTAGAAGTGATAACAGTATGAATAAACTGCTCATTAACAGCAATAACATCAAGGGTAACAACATCAGGTTTCCACCCCAGCCAAATTCTACCTTTAGGAGAATAAAAGTAATTACAAATCCAATCCCAAGCTCTACCAAATTTTTTTAAAATAGCAGCTTGACTATGCATTTTAACCTTGGTTTCAAGAATAGCTAACACATCAACTGATTAATCTCTTAGTAACTATTTCACATCAGTTACCTTATTAGGGTCATTAAGACCCCTAATGTTCTAGGATGTAACTATCATGGCACCAGAGGGGGATTACCATCACCCCCGATAGGAATAGTAGCCACCTTATAAGCCATTAGAGCATTGTAAGCATTCACCCTAGTAACCACTTGCTGAGTCTGCATAGTATTCTGAGTTTTAGTTTTCTTCCCTACCATTCTCCAACCATCATCAGAGTTAACATTGTTGTGCTCTGGGACAAGAGTAGTGATAGGTGGATTAACAGGCTTAGCAATCTCATGAGAAACATCAATCTGAGGTTGGAATTTAGACTTCTGAGCACCTTCCTTCTGAACTGGTTTAGCAACTTGTTTAGTTTGAGAAGCCTTGTTCTTAGGAGCACAACAGTCATGGCCAACCTTATCACATTTCTTGCAAAATGGAAGGGTCTATTCAAACTACACTTTCAGCTCAACGGTTTCACTAGTAGGGCTTTCAATCCAAACAGAATCAGGTAAGGCTTTAGTTACATCAACCTCAACAAGGATTCGAGCAAAGGATACTCTAAGTTGTCTTGAAGTACATTCATAAACACATATAGGTACCCCCAACAGACTACTAATTTTACTCAGGGTTT